GAAAACCCTAGATTTGGGTATTTCGACTTGGCGTTTGTAACGAGGTAATGCTAAAGTTTAATCCTTTCTCTTCTGCTTCTCTACTGATTCTATTCCCTTATTGGTGTTTCCTAGACTAAATCAGCTTCCTTTAGGTAGATTCTTATTTGCGTTCTGAACTGTGAATTTCTCTGTTTTCATTTCTCGTCTCTCCTCTTATATTTGAGTAAAGTTGTTAAATTTCATGTTTGAATCAACTGTTTTACCACCTTATCTTATCGACGCCTACTTATTTCTCTCAACTTTCTCGTTCACAGAAAATGGATCGTGTTAGCAGTCTACATGATGAGACTGCATTTGTGTTTAATCCACTTTTCTTCTTCATTTGGAAGAAATTGATCTTCCATTATTAGACCTTCCTCATGTTGAGCTTCATCTGGAACCAACGTATCATTTACCTCTTTGTGCCCAGTTAACATCAGGCTCGAGTCTACAGCCTCCATCGTCTCCAACGTGATATCCTTTTCCATAGTATCATCACATGAATTAACCATCAGCTCCGATCTTTTTGCCAGAGGCCAGTGCCTGCCAGTGGGATCCCGGTTGGTCTATATTTTTAACCTCGTTCTATTTCACCGGTTTTACCTCTGCATCCTTCGATCCCAGAAAAGCCGCTAACACCTTCTGTTCATTCTCAGAAAGATGGCTGGTTTCGAAAGTGCTGGAACGCCTCAGCTGACACAGCAAAACGTTTCTTGTACTCTACCATTCTTGCCTGACCCGAGGACCTCCCCGCCCGTGACGGTGCACCTCCATACTTATTCCCTTGTTTTGCCTTGGAATGCCTTGAGCCCGCTCCGTTTTGATGATAATCTGGTTCCTCTTTCACCTCTTGTACCTGTCTCTTTCCTTTATTCTTACCCGTTGGAGCTTTGTTTGCACCGTAAAATGTGCTAGTGTCTGCACCAGTCACTGCTCCCTTATAACTCAGGCTCATCGAATCAGATCCAGTGTCCCTTTGAGAAGGTTGCTCCCGTCTACTACCATTCCCCTCAAAGCTCGAACATTATGAAGGATCAAATTTTTATAAAACCCTTTCTCTCAAATACCAACCTCCAACACCAAAAAAATTCTCATATAACCCCATAACCCTTACTAAAGTGGCAAATTACTAAAATAACCTCAAATTAATAATT